GGTGTTCCAAGGCTGACTGTGGCCAGTCTGTGATTAGGTGAGGGCTGGTGACTGGCTGTGCCAGGAATGACCCAGGTGGATGAATCCCAAAGTGGCTCTGGTGTTATATTTTGGGCTTCTGATTGTGGTTCTCTACTCCTGTTATTCCACCCCCATGTTATTTTCCTCTTTTCTCCATTCTCAGATGCATCTCGGGGCATGGACTCCCCCCAGCCCCCAAACATGCACCTGGGCAAATACAGCCTTGCTCTGGGAAGCATTACTCCTAGAAGAGTTCCGGAATTTCTGGACCCTAATGTCCTGGAGTTCCAGATTTCTGGAGCTTGCCCCACTGATGCCCTGAAGCTCCTGCCCCACTGCTTCCCAGCCTGCCTTTCTGGCTTGCACTGGTTTGCTTGGAGGAGCTATTTGGTTTCCTATGTCTTTCTCCATCCTCTCCCAGACTCAGCTCAGAACACCCACAGGTTGGGTCCCATCCAACCTGAGAGACCTGCAGACTCAAGTGTGGTCTCTTAAGTTTGGGAGGGCCATGGCAAGACAGAGGTGGAGTCCTGTTCCTCACTCATGCAGGGCCAGCAGGCAGCCTCTCCAGAAAATAATTGGGCTGGCCTTTGCCCTCCTGCCCTATCTCCATCCAGGCTTTAGAGCAACCTGAAGTTACTCTATTCTATGCACATCTTTCTGGGGCGGGATTGGGAAAGATGATAACTGATTTCTCTCCTTTAAGTTTGAAATCATTTTTCTAAGTACTATTACCCTAGAAAACCACTTTCTAAGTACCATTACCCATTTCTAAGTACCATTACCCAATATAAATACCGTATATTCTCTAAGTGCCATTACCCTAATAAAGTAATACATAGTAATAAGTGTTTGTGTGTGTGTGTGTGTGTGTGTGTGTGTGCATGCATGTGTGCAATCAATTCTAGTTTAGTCCACACAGGATAAGACCTTGGCACACATGTTAATGAGATTCAATTTTTTCCGTATTTTTCAATACACACATATTGAGTCCCTACTGTGCTGTACTAGGCATGTGCTGGGACACAGGTCTTGCTCTCCAGGTGCTCAGAGTGACCCAGTCATGGACATTTATCATTCACATCATGTGGTTGTGCTGTCTTGGAAGCAAGAACAGCATCTGGGAGGTTCTAAAAAGGTAGGGAGCCCTTCCCAGAGGAGAGGATACTTGAGCTGGTAGCCGTTTCCTGGAGTCTGTCTTGGACAGAGACATGGAGTGTCCTGGAATTAAGACTCATTGGAAAAAAGCTGGAGCACTGGACTCAGATGGGGACTGGTGATGAGGCTTGGAAGACAGGCAGTAGGGAAGTCACAAAAGGCTTGGATATGATGCTATGATGCTGGGATTGTGGTGTAAGTCACATGCCATCTGGATGTCTTGTTAAAATGCAGATCCTGACCACAGGTCTAAGGTGGGGCCTGACCTTCTGTATGTCTAACAAGCTCTTGGGATATCCCATGCACTACACTCTGAGTAGCAAGAGGGAAGGTGCCCAGGCATCACTGAGAACTTCCCATAAGAGAGTGATCATAATCCCTTGAACCTATGTACCTAGGAATTCTAAAAAGCGTTAAGTGTATGGTCTAATTTGATTCATATAATATGAATTATGTGTAATGTGATTTATATGGTTCATGATTTTTACATGTAGATCCTGCAGTCTAGGGAAGTTAAACAACTAGAGTTTTGTAGCTGAAAAGGGCTGCAGAAATTTAAGACAACCTCTTAGTATACAGGCAAGGAAACTCATCTGTCATCTTTGAGGTCATTCCTGGTCTAAAAGCCCAAGTTTCTGTGATTTGAATGTGTTGCTCAAAGTTTTCTAAGTATTTAAAGACAAAGGTTGAATGAAAATCTTCGGTCAGTCCTGGGAAAGGCCCCAGGCTTGCTTCCCTCTCTGGGCTAAACTTTGGAGGAGGGTGTGGGACTGTATCTCTGGATGACAGCGTTATAAACATGGAGACATAACGCTAGAGGTGATGCACTCGAACTGGTGGACACTCTTGATTGGAAGTTCCCAGTTTTCAGGCTGCTTCCACTCATTTTCTTTGCAACCTGGACCAAACTGGTTCAATGATAGTCCGTCTTAATGTTTTCATCTGTAAAAATAGGGATATTAGCTCTCTCACTGCATGGTTGGGAGAATCAAATTGGCAGGCCTTCATGAATGTATTGTGCACCTACCACGAACCAGACACTATACCAAGCACTGCAGACATAGACATAGGACAGATCCGGCCTCGAACCCCATAGAGCTCACATGGAGAGAAGACTGACGTCCAAGGCACAAGTTCCAGCTAATTATGTCCAAGTGCACAGAGTACAGCCAAGAAGTATGGGGGCAATAAGGACCTATAACAGGAAGGCCTAACAAGGAGGTCTCAGACAGCTTCCAGGAAGAAGTGATCCTTCAGCAGAGAAGTGAAAAATGAATAAGAGTTAACAAGGAGAGAAGACAGACTGACTGGGTCAGAGCCCTGAGGCAGGAGCGAGTTGGCTGGCACCAGGAACCAGGAGAGGGTTGGATGTCAGGAGCAGGTACAGCAAGGAAAGGAGGAAGTTCAAGGAGAGACTGGAGGAATAAGCCTGGTCAGATCCTGTAGGATTTGTTAAGGATTTGGGACCTTATTCTAAGGTTAATAACAAGCCATTGAAAGGTTTTAAGCAGGGAGGTGATGTGAACTGTTCTGTGACTTAAAATCATCCTGGCTTGATCAGAGAAATGCAAATCAAAACCACAATGAGATACCATCTCACACCAGTTAGAATGGCGATCATTAAAAAGTCAGGAAACAACAGGTGCTGGAGAGAGAAATAGGAACACTTTTACACTGTTGGTGGGATTGTAAACTAGTTCAACCATTATGGAAAACAGTATGGCGATTCCTCAAGGATCTAGAACTAGATGTACCATATGACCCAGCCATCCCATTACTGGGTATATACCCAAAGGATTATAAATTATGCTGCTATAAAGACACATGCACACGTATGTTTATTGCAGCACTATTCACAATAGCAAAGACTTGGAATCAACCCAAATGTCCATCAGTGACAGATTGGATTAAGAAAATGTGGCACATATATACCATGGAATACTATGCAGCCATAAAAAAGGATGAGTTTGTGTCCTTTGTAGGGACATGGATGCAGCTGGAATCCATCATTCTTAGCAAACTATCACAAGAACAGAAAACCAAACACCGCATGTTCTCACTCATAGGTGGGAACTGAACAATGAGATCACTTGGACTCAGGAAGGGGAACATCACACACCGGGGCCTATCATGGGGAGGGGGGAGGGGGGAGGGATTGCATTGGGAGTTATACCTGATGTAAATGACGAGTTGATGGGTGCAGCACACCAACATGGCACAAGTATACATATGTAACAAACCTGCACGTTATGCACATGTACCCTACAACTTAAAGTATAATAATAATAAATAAATTAAAAAAAAAAATCATCCTGGCTTGTATGGAGAACAGCTTGAGCAGGAGTGACTGGGAGACTTCCTCCTAGTGTAAGCAGGAGATGACGGTAGCCTCAATTAGGGTTGTGGCAGTGGGGATGGTGAGAAAGGGACAGATTTGGGAGGTATAACTGGTAAGCTTAGGGATCGATTGGATGTGGGGGTGAGAGAGGAGGAAGTAAAACGGGATGACTTGCACGTTCCCAGCTAGAAAACCTCAATGTATGGCATTAGAGATTATTATGATTGGGGGTAGTGCAGAGAGGGCAGCTTTGGGTGGGTAGCTGATCATTAAGGTAGCTGATCATTAATTCACTTTGGACGTGTCCTATTGTAGGTATAGATAAGCTCTCCAAGCTGTGATATTGAGTAGGTAGTTGGCTGCAGGGTTCTGGCCGTAGTTGTCTACTGATGCTGGTGATGTTGATTTGGGAATTGTATATCCCTAGAGATGGTATTTCAAGTCAGAGTGACGGAGGAGGTGCCCCAGGGAGAGGGAAAAAGAAGGGAAGTAGAGAACTGAGGGCAGCTCCTGGAGGTGCTCTGTCATTTGGTGATCATCAAGTGAGATAACAGATGAAGATTAGCTTTAAAAATTAAAGCAGGGTGCTCTCATTGTTGCACTGTACTGTACTTCGTATAACAATGTGCATCTCTGACATTTACTGCTGCACTTGGATGGGAGAGATTATATCTAATGTTCACAAATCTGCAAGACTATTTCCTCCGAGTTATTTTTGCCCCTATTAAAAGAAAAACCCACCAGGAGGGATTTATTCTTATCAGGTCATGCAACAGTAATTTCATTTTCAAATCATTAACAGGAAGGCATCCTCATCTGATCATTCGCACCTCAAAACCCTATCTTAGAAGCCTGATACCATCTCAACCTTCCTGAGAGCTTTACTGATTTCTGTTGAGACCCTCAGCTCTAAATCAAACACAGTGTGAGCCTGGCTTCTGTGTGCACCTCTCTTACTATCTCTCCCATCAGTTGATTTTGTTTTTCTGCCTCTGGTCCTGGCATTTGGCTGCAGATTATTCCGAGAATTTCATTGCTAACTTACATGAGATGAACAGATAATAAGAAATGGAACTTATTTTCTAATTTATTTTGAAACTGAATTCCAGATTCTATTTATGGGGAGGGGCAGAGTCAGCCTATGATGAGTGAGAACAGTCTTTGACTCAGAATTTAAATGAAGTTTTGTTTCTTTTCTTTCTTCTTCTTCTTCTTCTGCTTTATTTTATTTTATTTATTTTATTTTATTTTATTTTATTTTATTTTTTGAGACCGAGTCTCCATCTGTCACTCAGGCTGGAGTACAGTGGCACAATCTTGGCTTACTGCAACCTCCGCCTCCTGGGTTCAAGCAATCCTCTCACCTCAGCCTCTGGGGTAGCCAAGGATTACAGCCATGCACCATCATGCTTGGCTAATTTTTGTATTTTACTAGAAACGGGGCTCGCCATGTGGGCCAGGCTGTTCTTGAATTCCTGACCTCAAGCGATCTGCCCTTGGCCTCCCAAAGTACTGGGATTATAGGTGTGAGCCACTGGACCCGGTCAAATGAATTTTCATAGGAAAGTATCCTTCCCCAGGACTGGTTCCAGGCCTGGCAGTGGCAGTGGGGTGGAAGTTCTTGCTTTCCATAAAGTAAATCCAATCAATTAAAAACAGACACTCTGCAGGAGTCTAGCTTGCCAGACTCCTATTCAAAGCTAGTTTGCTTCTTTTTAGCTTGTCTCTTAATAACAGAAAAGTTTATTGTTTCCCTTGCATGTAAAAAGGCCCTTCCTTGTCATAGAGAGGCATCAGAGGGGATCCTTCTTTCTTGCCAGCTGACATTGTGTTCTTCACCATGACACCCACAGGAAGAAATTCATTCCTGAACTTGTGGCCATTTCAATCGAATTACCTTAATTTGCATTTGAGACTCAGAAAGCATTGACTTTTGGCCTCCTGAGGTATGCTTCCCAGACAAAACGGCTGGCTGGGACTGTGTGTTTCAGTGCCTGAGCTCTGGACCAGGCTGCCTGGTCAAACTTCTGGCCCTGACACTTTCCTGCTGTGTGAGTTTGGACAGGTCACCTAACCTATCCATGCCTCCACTTTTCTATTTGTGTAAGAGCATTGGAATTCAGTAGTGGCCACCTTGTGGAGCTTTTTGTAAGGTTTAAATAAACAAGTGCAAGTTAAGTACTCAGAAGAGTATCTGTCGTACAGGTACTATATTAATTTTAGCTGAGTATTACCTCTATTCTGGGGCAGATGATTGGATTGTGTAATAAGGAGTATGAGCTGCCATTGATCACTGCTGCTATGCGCAGTGCCTGACATGCGATAATGAGGTGGATACTATTATTTTATCAATTTTGCAGAGATATAAGTCCATGGTCACATAGTTAATAAGTAGTGGGGCTGAGATTCAAACCCAGGTCTATTTGACTCCAAATCCTAGTCCTCACCTCCCCACTGCTGCCTCCACTGTACACTTTGCATGAAGAATGGGGAGTAAATAAGCAAGGTCAAGGTTATATGGAAAGGTCTTTTTGGCCAATTAACCAGATGACCAGGCAGTTCTACAGCATCCCTTCCCCTTGTCATTTCACCTGAATGGGAAGCCTGTGAGCATAGGGAGTTGGGGAAAGGCTCAGAGCTCTAGGCCTCAGGGGATTTGGAATTGTTCCCTCATTTTGTAATCCTACCTTCTATCAGTTTCCTCCTTTATTATGTCCTCTACTTTTTGTCCACTGCTTGTCTTTAAACTCCAAATACCTCTGTGTGTGTCTGGGTGTGTGTGTGTTGTGGGAGTTAAGACCTTAGGGCAGACTGGGAAGAGCTCCATTTCCTGGTAGTGGAAAAGAACTTTGGGCTGTTAATTAGGCTGTTAATCTTATCCTTTCTCTGCTACTGATTAGAAGGATAATCCTGAAAAAGTCACTGACTCTTTCTGGGCCTTATCTATGAGTTTGGGATTGAGGATTGGAAAGTATCTGACATCCTGTGGTTCTAGTCAGCCTTCTAGATCTCTGACCTCTAGGAGTAGTCTTGGTGGCAGCGATAATGGTGGTGGTAAGGAGGTGGTACTGATGGTGGAGGAGGTGATGGACATAAGGATGACAAAGGAAGTTGTTGTTAGAGGTGGTAATGATGATGGTGGAGATGGAGGTGAATTCATGGTGATTGTTACAGAGACAGAGGTGGAGGTGATGGTAGAGATGGTGGCAGTGGCTGTAGCAGTGATGTTGGGTAGAGGTGGAGGTGATGGTGGTGGGGGTGGTAGCAGCATTGGTGTTGGTATTGGTGGTGGTATGGGTGAAGGCGATAATAATGGTGGTGGCATGGTAGCAGTGTTATTAGTGTTGATAGAGGTGGAGGTGATGGTGGGGGTGGAAGCAGCATTGGTGTTGGTATTGGTGGTGGTATAGGTGGAGGTAATAATAATGGTGGGGGTATGGTAGCAGTGTTACTAGTGGTGGTGGAGGTGGAGGTGATGATGATAATGGCAGTGGTGGGAACAGTGGAGTTGGTGTAGAGGTGGAGATGATGGTGGTGGAAGCAGTGTTGGTGGTAGAGGCGGAGGTGATGGTGGTGGGGGTGGTAGCGGCATTGGTAGTGGTATAGGTGAAAGTGATAATAATGGTGGTGGTATGGTAGCAGTGTTATTAGTGTTGGTGGAGGTGATGATGATAATGGCAGTGGTGGGAACAGTGGAGTTGGTGTAGAGGTGGAGACGATGATGGTGGTGGAAGCAGTGTTGGTGGTAGAGGTGGAGGTGATGGTGGGGGTGGAAGTGGCATTGGTGTTGGTACTGGTGGTGGTACAGGTGGAAGTGATAATAATTGTGGTGGTATGGTAGTAGTGTTATTAGTGTTGGTGGAAGTGGAGGTGATGATGATAATGGCAGTGGTGGGAACAGTGGAGTTGGTGTAGAGGTGGAGATGATGGTGGTGGTGGTGGAAGCAGTGTTGGTGGTAGAGGTGGAGGTGATGGTGGTGGGGGTGGCAGTAGTGGCGGTGGTGTTGGTGTTTGTGGATGGAGGTGATGATGGTGGCCATAGGAGGAGCAGTGGTATGGTGATAGAGGTGGAGGTAGGAAAGATGGTGGTAATGGTGATGGTACTGGTAGAGGTGGAGATGATTCCGGAGGTGACATGGTCATAACTGACAGTGGCTCTTTTCTTGTAGCAGTCACTGTGGTCAGCACTATCCCTCCAGTGTCTCCTTTGATCCTCACAGCAGATAGTGTTATCTCCATTTGCAGATCAGAAGTCCGAGGAGCCTGAATTTTAGAGAGTAAGGCTGAGCATCTTGGTGCTGGATGGAATTGTTCCGGTCAGGTAAAGGCAAAGCCGGAGGTGTCCAAGGAATCCTTTGTCGGGAAATCTGTGGTAGGCATAGGGAGGGAGGGGAGTCAATACTGGCCATGTTCATATTTTGTCCTTCCCATATTCCTTCCTGTGACAACCCAGTTGTACCCAGATGGAAATTGAGGGTTATAATTGTCAGATTTTATTCCCCGAGGCCACACAGCATAGAATGGCCTCCATGCTTCTGCACACATCCTTCTAAGTACTTTATTATTTGTCTACACATTTCCTTCTTTGGCAGCAGACCCCAGCCTTATGCTCTAGGTCTTGTCCTGCAGCTTCTCTGACAAGGGCTTATATCTTCCATGGTGGGGAAGGGCCCCTCGGGTGAACTATTTTGGCAGAAGTGAGAGTCCTCTGATATGTCTTTGGTAAATGGAGTTTTCTGTGTCCTGCTACACCCGTTGACCTGCATATGTACTTTGTACCCCATAGGGCCATCTTAGAAAGAAACAGACAAAAAATGAGTTTTTAGTATAGAGAACTCAGGATTAATCAGTAGCAAAGGGAGCTTCAGGTTAAAGTCACCTGCCTTGAACGTAGTTGTCAGAATCCAAGACTCCTCAACCTCGGTCTAGTTCTCCTTTAGGGCTGAGGGTGCTGGTCTTGTTTGGATGAGAAAGTGATCCCTTCTCTCCATTCTCTCTCCTTTTCTTCCTCTAAGTACAGAGATGGAAATGAGCCGGACACTAGGCCCCACGCTTGGAGGGCTAATACTGACCTCTTTGGACAGAGAAGCTGGCTTCAAATGGATTCCATAGACCTTTACCAGAGCCCCTCACCTGGAACTCTCTTTCCCTCCTGCAAACATTTATTGAGCAGCTACTATATAAAAGTTTTCTGTTATGCATTGAGAATACCACAGTGAAGATGGAGCATCTTGTCCTCCTTGAATTTCTGGTCTAGTTTACACTGCAGTGTTATGAGGATGTGGGTGGGAATGAAAATTCTTGGTGAACTCATGGAAGAGAACTTGATGTAGACTTGTGAAGTCAAGGAAGGCTCCCTGGAAGGAGTGACATGTAAGCAGAAACTTTTGGACTAAGATCTGGACTAAGTGTGGGCAATTGGTGTGAGAGGAATAGTAGGGAGGAAGGATGAGAGAAGGAGGAAATGCAGGGGATGGAGGAGGGTGTCGTCTCAGTAAAAGAGCAGCATGTGCAGAGGCATAAAGGCTAAAGAGATGGGGAAGGGAGCCTAGCAGGTCATGGGGACTGGGGCATAGAAGAGTGACAGCCTATGCTATGGACTGAACTGTGTCCCTCTCAAGTCATATGTTGAAGCCCTATCCCGAAATCTGACTGTATTTGGAGATGGGGCTTTTAGGAGCTGTTTAAGTTTAGTTGAGGTCATAAGGGTGGGACTCTGAATAGGACGAGTGAACATCAAAGAACAAGGAAGAGAGCTTCTCCCCACCTCTATGCGCTTACTTCTGCCATGTGGGAGAATGCAGAGAGATGGGGGCTATCTGCAAGCCAGGAAGACAGCCCTCACCCAGCACCAAATCAGCGGGCACATTGATCTGGGACTTCCCAGCCTCTGCAACCAGGAGGAATAAATTTCTGTTGTTTATTTCATTCAGTCTGTGGTATTTTGTTATGGCAGCCTGAGTTGATGAGTACACCCCATATCTGGACAAGGGTGGACAGAAACTACTTTCCTGCCTTTAGTCCTTGTTGCTAATTCTGCAGCAGTAACAAGAAGTGGTAGCTGGTGTCTGGTCTTACCTTAGGACAACCTAGGTCAATGCTATCTCCTAGCTCACACCTCATTCTCTCTTCTGGACCGGGTCAGCTGTAAAAAAGACTCCCCTGGAGGAAACTCTTAGCTCTGTGCTCCACCCATGCTGGGCCTCCCCAGGCTGGGTTGAAAGGCCAGGCCCTGGCTAGTCACTCCTCTGTCTCAGTGACAGGCTTTGGGGGCTGGTCCTACCAGGGTCTGGGAGCCCACTCAGTGACTTCCGGAAAGGAGACAGTGAGAAAGCAGGGTCTGTAGGCATGCTTGTTTTTCTCCACACTCCTGAAACGCCCATGCAGCAGAGGCTTGGCTGAGTGCACTGGCTGGCTTCATCTGAGGGCTGCATGATTTCACCAGGCTCTAAAGGGAGCTGGGCCAGTGCAGACAGCACCTGCCTGGGAAGCCCCATGTTTGGACTCATGGGCTGTGTGAATGTGGGCACCTCATTCCCCTTCTCTGGGGATTCTGCTAGCTCATCAGTAGACTAAACTCTGAGGTCTTTTCAGTGCCAGCATTCTAGAGTTTTAATTCTCTACTATTTATAGGGAGCTGAATTCTATTAAAAGTGCAGCCTTTCAGCTGTTAATCAGTGTTTATAAGTGGCATGGCTAGTGCCAGTGTGGTATGCATCGACTCGCTGTTTTGGTTGCCCCAGCTGCAAGCGTCTTCATTACATGCTCTGCAGCTTCCCCGGTGGGCTTGGAGGACATCATGCCCCTCATTATCACCACCCACTCCTGTGCTGTGCGTTACTGGGGAAGAAGCATTTGGCTTCACCTGCCAGGCTGAGAGATAGCTACAGGTTTATGTAGCTACACCACATTGGAGGACTTACTATCAGTGGATTGAGAATAGATTGCGTAGAAAGTCACACAGCTACTTACAGTTGAGATCTACATAGAAAAATATTTATTTAGCAGATTCCAGGTGATCATTTATCACATATCATAAAGGTACAGGAGCACTAAACCACAATGATGACCCTAAATGCCATTTACTTTGAGTGCAAGTGTCTGTCCTACAGTTTTCAGACAGGAGGGTTTATTTTAGAAATATGTGTTTGTTATGGTAGTGATTGATAGTTTTTTCTTCTTGTACTGAAGCTTGTAGAGCAGAATGAAATAGCTGTAATGCTTAGCAAATTGCAGCCCATTTGGAATCTGGCTTCTGTGGCACATTTCAGAGGCCTCTGTACTCAACGTGGTAGATGGAGTTGCACTGGAGAGAGGGTTCTTTCCTGGGCTCCATCAAACAGCTGGAACAAGGATGAGACATCAAACCTTCTGTCTTCATGGACAGAGGCAGCCATCTGTGGCATTTATATCATTTTGAAGTTGTGGCCTGTGCCTTTCTAAAACCAAATCCCAACAGTTCTTCTGTCTTCGCCTCTAGGAAATTCCTCAATAGGAAAGAGGGCGTAAACAAAGACCTCCGAGCTGCGGGTCACTGGAAAAGTGATTGCAAGGTTTCCAGGAAAGTCCTAGCTTGGACTTAGACCATGTCAGAGGATGTGGTACCTGGATTTAGCTCTCAGGGAAGGTGCAATCAGTCCGTGGTCAACTGCATCCCATCCATGCAGCTCCCAATGCCTCTCTGCCTCCTTTGACAAACTCGGCAATGGGTGGAGACTGCCTTCCCTGCCACCTCCCTGTTAGCTATTAAGGAACTTGCTTGCAGCTGACCCAACTGCCTTCTCAAGATGATCCGAATAAATAATGGGAGGGGAGAGGTGTGGGCTGGGAATGGCTGCGCATGGCTTGATTTGTGGTGATCTTGAACAAAGATGGGTAGGGAGCAAGAGGGAAAAAGTAGAAAAGAGATGCCACTGCTTTACATACTGGAGAAACATGTACAGAAAGAGGAGAAATGGAAGCCAAAAAGGAAAGGTGGGGAAAAACAAGAGGAAGGGGAAGGGAAAAGGAGACAGAGGGAGACAGGAGACAGGATGGGGAAGGGCTGTGTGTGGAAGTGAGTGGGACTGCCAGGACGGTTGCCTAGGAGTGGAACCAGAGGGAGGGAGTTTGTAGCTACCGTCTGTTCTGACTGTAGACACTGATGAAAACATGATGCTTCAAAGGCTTCAGTGACAGTGCTAGGGCCCCTACCAGTGCCCACTGAGCCAGGGGCTCCACCTCAATTTATGCTTCTCTTAGACCAGTGTTCTCCAACTTGTGTGAGCAGCAGAGTCAACAGAGGGCTTGTTAACCCCAGATCATGGGCCTCACCCTCAGAGTCTCTGGTTCAGGAGACCTGGGTTGGAGCCTGAGAATTTGCATGCCTAAGAAGTTCCCAGGTGGTGCTGATACTACTGTTCCAGGGAACCCTCCTTTGAGAACTCTGTCTCAGCAGTTAAAGACTAAACCAAGGTTGGTGCTGATTTGGACGCCTTAGGTCATACAAGGTCAGTGAGTGAGATCAACATCTCAGCTGGCTTGCAGAAGCAGATTGCAAACACTAACATATAAATTGAGAAAGTGCTAAAATCTTTTATTGGATGTATTTGTCTCTTTCTGGCTCTTCATTCAACTAACCATATGCTTACTTTCCACTGGCAACTGCTATTTAAATGTCAGTTGACAAGCAGATGCTCCTCACCCTACTACATGCAAGTTAATTTATTGTCCACAAAGCCTGATGGAGTGCTCTCTAGCCATGCTGGTTTCCCACTGTCCCCGCCCACTCCTTTGTTGCAACCATACTGAGCCTTGCTGCTCACAGAAGGTAAGCTGCCTTTGTGTTTCTCCATCCCCTGCTCACGCTGCGTCTCTGCTGGTGATGTCCCTTCCCAGGCTCTTACTCTCCTTAACTGTCCGCGTGAATGTTCTTGCCTATGGGAATGTTCATCCAGCTCTTCTTGTTGCTGCAATGCTGTTTGGCTCAGACCATTCTCCTAGCCCTTAGATAAACCAGGCTGTGGCCACCTTGTCCAGCTCAGCTTTGTATCATCAGTACCTAGGACAGGATCCTTAATAGGCCCCAGCCATCAAGAAGCAATTGCCAACTAAATAAGCAAAATACAAAGAACTTGAATGGGGGGATAAGAGAGGGCTAGGGGCTGGTGGGGAGATGGAGATGTCTAACCCCTGCTCACTATGGTCAGGATTAGAGAGAAATTGAAAAATAGAGGCAGGAACAGGCAGGAGGAAGACAGAGCAGGCATATAATAATCCCAGAAATCCTAAATCATCATCAACATACCCCTGCATCCTCAAGACTTCAATGATTCTGTACAATGGGACTCCAACAGTAGGTAGAAAAGTGAATATTTGGAATTTATTT